CATGAGAGGTTTGTGGAGTTGGCTTGAACCCGCCCATCACTTTTCGAAGACGAAGGAAACACGTACACCGAAGTGGTGGTGGGGGAAGGGGGTCGTGCATTTTAATTTTGACTCCCAATGATTAGGATCTAAACATGAAGAGGAACTGTAAGTCGTGTGCGATTATCACAATGAGCTTTTAGCGCTAATTAATATGCATCAAATGTTTCTTCTGTTAGCGACGGGGAAGCATTTTCCTTGATAGAAGTTTCTCGTGAGGGATTTTCAAGGCTTAAAAGGTGTTTTCATTTTGCATCGTGGGCTTTAATGTACTTTCATTTTCACATGGCTTCATTAAAATAATCACAGTTTGATTAGATGGAGAAGACTAAAATGTGCAAATTAAACATCGGCCATCTTTGTTTGCCAGCATTTTTTTTTGTTTGGTTGATTTTTTTTTTTTTTTTTTTTTTTTTTTTTTGAGCCAAGGCACACCATCAAATAATGTCATGATGGGAACATATCTGTGAATGTTCTTAACTCAGGATTGTGTTACAGACCCACTCGCGATAGGTGAAAATAAAGACAATACATTTTTTTAAAAAAGAATATATATAATATTACCCCTCCCGCTTGCTTTGAATTCATTTAAATTCAGCGAGCCACACTCAAATGGATTCAAACACTTTTTCGATTCGTCCTCATCACCCGTTGCCAATCTCTTGCCATCTATAAATGGCGAGCCCGCTTCAAACCATCTTGTCCCTGTTAGACGTGTTGGTGAACGGGAAGCCGTGCGACTGCGACGTCATCGCCGACTGCCGAGTCGGCGATGCCGTCTCCCTGGAGATCAAGCTGACCAATCGCAGCGAGAATGCCGTGGGGCCGCTGGCGCTGACCGTGGTGCCCTATCAGGACTACCAGAACGGGGTTCAGAACTACGACCTGGGCGACGCCGTCACCTTCATCGGCTCCAACACCTTCTGCATCGACATGGTAACGGCGACACCGTCTGCGATGGCGATCCACCGGCAACACACACATTTTTTTAACTTCTTTTTACTTGAGAGGTTGAGATCATTTAACCAATTGTGGTTGAATGTTATGACATTCTTTTTTTTTAGGGGTGGGGGGGGGCTTCTCCCACAATAATTTGCATGCTCTGTTATTTGTGATTTAAAGTAGGACAAGGTCACAAGGAAAAAGTCATGGTCTGCACTTACTGGGATTTGGTGGGCGCGTCTGCCAAAAAGAAAACTTTTTCATTTCACTGAAAATTATTTGTGACATGGAAGCCAAACAACCCCCCGCCCCCCTCAGACTCCCCAATGTAGACATTTGAAAGAATAAGTGGAAGGCGAGCCACTCATAATTCTCCCCGCTTGTCTCCACTTTGCGCAGGTGCAACCCAAAGAAAAGTCCATCTGCGTGGGCGCTCTGCTTTTCCTCTACACTGGAGACTTCTACCTTAACATCAAATTTCAGGACGACAGCGCCGGGCGAGAGCTGCCTTTGGCCTGGTTCACGCTTCCCAGCGTCCACATCAGAACAATGGACACGCTTTTCAAGGACGCCGCTTGACCGGCCCGCCAAACTGATTCCATTTGTGTTCATATCTGTAAATGAAGCGGGCATCCCGTGCGATTGTCCTTTTCAACATGAAGCAAAACCGCGTTTGGCGTTTAGCTTGCCAACTCGACTGCTGAGCTAGCCTGGCTAGCTACCGTATAGGATGTACACGTCGGTAAGTTATTATTTTTTTTCATCCAAACGGAACTACAGATGAAAAGCGCTCCTTTGACTGTAAATAAAGGAAATCAACAAAGCTGTTTTTCCTCATGGCCGCTGTCATTCCGACGATTTGCAGCTCGCGGTCGTCGGGGGTTAAAAAAAAAAAAAAAAACCGACGTTTTCCCATTTTCATTCATCTCTGCATGTGTTTCCGGACACGGTGTATCTCTGTGGATCTCTGACTTGGCAGCAGCAGGAAAATGACAGGATAACTCGCACCCCCGCCCCTCAGGGGGGCTGTTACATCTTGTCGCAGCACCAAAGAGAAAGTTCTTTCGGTGCTTGTGACAGACAGGTAAGTTCGTGTTTGAAATATAAAAGTGCACTGATCATTTTCACCCTTTTTCTCATCGACGAATCGGCGCGAGTGTATTCTCGCGCAATGCGAGAGGTATTTTACATTTTGTGGCAACCCCCCTGGAGACGCTCGCACCCGGACGAATCGACTCCAGCTTTCGATGGCGCTCGATGGCTCCTTCAAAGGTACACGTCCCACACAACAAACTGTGGCGCCTTTTTACAGTGAATTAATTTTATGAACGTTGACCTGACAATATTTGTAAGAATATCACAAGATTTTTTTTTTAATACAAAAAAATGCTAATATAAAATGTTTTGTGTTCAATTAGCCCAAATATGTTTCTAATTAGTTGACTG